TATATTCTCTACATTCGTCGCAAAAATAAAATTAATATCTTCTGTCGTCTCGGTTGCTTCTCCCTCCTCCTCTTTTTCTCTCTCTTTCTGTGTCTCTATGTATATAATATATATATTTATATATATTTATATATATAATTTATATAAATCTTGCTATATATAATACAATATATGCAGATATATTTTCAACTTAGTCATATGTAGCAAAGATCTAACGAAAGTTCGGTGGCTATTAGGAAAACGAGAAGGAAAAATATGGCAATTGCCTGGCACGTTCTTGTTTTTGTGAGTAAAATTCATTGCAGGTGTACAAATAAAGTTACGTAACAATCCTCTCTATCCTATTTACGTTTATATTTCTCTCATCATCGAATACACAGTTATATTTGCATTCTATATACTCACGTTTATTTTCAATTTTCTTGACAAACATGAAGTCAGTTTGTTAATGTTTCTATCTACAAGAAGATACCAATGACACTTACCATTATATATATATATATAAATATATATATATATATATATTCAACAATCATCGTGAATAAGATCTGATAGTTCTGATACAAGATGTACGCTATCCTAAATTTGAGTTTAATATGTGAGTATAACAGACGCTCCGATTGAATTTACAAAATGGGAACTATACCATATTCACGAAAATGTTGAACGTCTCTTAATTATCTTACTTAAATTGAGTAGAGGTTCATCAATACTTGCTTATACACAAAGAAGTTGGCACCAACCAAAGTCTTTCGCGACTGATGACAAAGTTGAACCGAACAGTACAAGAGTTATAATAAAATACAAGAACTATATTAGTTATTTTTTAATATATTAAACACTCTACTTGATATTAAATATTAAATATTCTCGCTCAACCCATCGCTCTCTGTGACGAGAGCTCGTTCCAGGATAACGCGCCCTTCCTTGTACCGTTGATTCTCGTCCGTTGCAAATTCATACACCCATCCGAGTTTTGCGTCACAGTTTTTGCAGCTGACATCTCGAACCATATGACGACCAGTCAGCATCACTCTGTCCTGTACCTCACTGTAAATTGTATCGTAGTTAGGAAGAGAAACAGATATCGTATTATTGTGAACTCGATATCTGTATCTTTCCAATTGTCATTATATGTACCTCTTAAACTTTAAACTTTTTATGTAGGTTTATCTCCTATAAAAATGGTATAAAGAGTAAAAACATTCATCACATATTCGAATGGATTTATGAAATCCGAATTTTAGATTTAAGAAATTCCTAATGTCAAGACATTAACTGAACAGCTGACTATAATTAGCACAATCTGACAGTAATGTCTCTTTAATGTTACTTTAACGTGTTGCCAATGCAGACAATGGAATGTTGATGTTAACGAGAATATAATTTAACTTCCTTCCCCCGATGCAAATATACAATGTACACAATTCTACTGAGTTTCCTCTATCTTACACGAGAGAAATCCGAAAATATGCAGAAGATAAGATGACAAATGCACCTGTAATTCAGATTGACGACTTTATTGAAGAGAAATGCGCGTCCCGTAGCACCCGTGAAGCGTGTGCTTATCAGCTGTCCCCTGTTGGTGAGGTTGGTGTCGCAGGAGGCGCAGGAGAAGAGGCGGGTGCCGCCGATGTGCTCGAGAAATATCACCCCCATCTCGGTGGTTGGCAGAAGGGCCCGGTTAACCTCGAAGTGTAATTCGCAATCGGCGGCGTTTGTCTATCGAACGGATCGATAGAGCCCCGACTCGCGGAAAACGAAAGTTGTACGAGCGTCGTAACTGTTACGATGCGTCAACTGTGCGTCGTGTGCATACTGTAACCTGTGTACCAACATCGCCAGGACCGCGGGGAAGGGATTGAGTGTTTCTACTGCGGACCATGAGTGGTCGCTAATGTAGACCCGAAACTTTCGTTACGACGGACGGCTTGGTAAGATTTCACGTGGAGAGCCAAGTACGAAACTTCATAAATATCTTTTATACGTGAAATATTTTAGAAGTTATAATCACTTTCTCTTATTAAAAAAAAATATATACGTATATACAAATCTTTGCATGCAAGTTAGATAATCACTTGTGTCTGGCAAATTCGATTTTATTTTGCATCGTATATTGAAGATTGCAATTACTATCTATTGCTTTATTTATTAATTCAAAAAATAACTGAAATAATCATTAATATTAGTCACTAATATTAATGCGCGCGTGGGCATCGATCAAGATCGGTATTATGATGTAACACAAGTAACTTTATATTCTTATGATCATAAATAATAAATTGATTAATTTTGGCATTGCAATGCGAGTATAATTAAGATGATCATATAATATACAAATGTGTTACATCAAAATATTATATTTTTATTATTCATATAAATGGTATACAATATGTACACGTATATAGATTCGTGTAAATTACAATCCTTCAAAGCTAGGTACATAGATGTTTTGTGCAGTAAAATTCGAAACATTCTCTCCCCTGATGTTTTCTTTTTAAACGCTCGGTCGTTATACAGTGGACAGTTAAGCCCGATGGTAAAGTGTCCTGCACCAGATACAGTTACGCACTGCAATAGGTAGGTACAAATGACAGCCAAAATGCGGTCAGAACAGCGAAACGAATCGAAAATATATTGTTGGTCGTTATCTAATTACTATGTTCATCTTTTCAAGGCACATTTGAAATATAATCAGTACATTTCCTTCCAAATTACGGAGAAACCTATCAACGTCACGTAGTCGCTCTTATCACTTTACAAACAGTTCACCGTTTCATCATTAATAAAGTTACAAAGTTTCGTATATACATGTATACATACAAAGGGAAAAGGAGAAAAATAGAAAGAATTTTAAGTATATATGCAAAGAGAGGGAAAAAAGAGAGAGAGAGAGGGGGGGGAGAAGGAGAGAGAGAAAGAGAGAGAGAGAGAGAGAGAGAGAAGGGAGAGAAAAGAAAATCAATAGAAAAATATAAAATATTAAAAATTCCTTTAGCCGAAATCACAGACAAGTCTCTTACTTTCTCAAACAGAGCACAAAGTCGCGCACACACACACGCGCACACACATCTTTGTGTGGTCTTAATATAATAAGATAATATAGCTGATATAAATATTATAAATATATAATCATATATGTATGGATAGTCTTATCGCTATATATACATGCATACACGGATATACACGTATTTCAATACGAAGGGACATTTGTCTAGCATGCATGCGCGTATGCAGTTGATGATTCTGTACATATTTAAATTTACACGTGTACACGCTTGTTTATTCGCGCGTATGCATGTACCAACATGTAAACAATGGTCGCACAGGTGTGTATGTGTATATCCATATTTTTGATTATATCCTTTTTGATGTTTGGGTCTTATCGTGAAGGATATTCCATTTCATATCTGTAATACTGCACCTATACCTATGTACATTAAACGCCAGTAAAATACAACATATAAGATGAAATATTTTCGCGCCTACTATACATCATCGGAAATAATGAGTTCCTCCCAAATGTTACGATTTGCTCCAAATCGATGTAATGGAAACAATAACTCAATTCGTCTCGTATAACAGAAAAGTAACACGTTATAGGAATACAGGATAGATCTCTCGTCGAAAAAATAGCACAGATACAGCCCTCATGTTTGTGTCTTAGTCATTCAAATCAACCTATATCTTGACATATTAGTCATAGACATCGTAGCTATGCATTATCTAATCAGATTTGTTATCAGTATGACTCGTAGGATATTTTCCCTATAAGCATTCCAGTAAAGGATCCACATGAATGTAACGGAGGAGAAGCATGGACAACTAAAAATATTATTGCGAACTTAGTAATGCGCAACATAAAATATTTTCTATTCATAGGAAAGTATAATTATATAACGTACTAGACGATTCAACATTGTTCCATGTACAATTAGGTGCAACGTGAAAATAAAATATATCTTCCCAAACCGTAAAATTGGAAATTGAGCTCTCACAGAACAAATATATATATAGAGCGAAACGATACTTTCTCTCTTTCTGTTTGATTGATAAAACAATTATTCTGAGAAAACAAAAGAACACCTCCCTCACGTATACTGAATAATGGAATAGTCTACAGTCAATAGCAGTCGTAATATTAAAATCCGTAATATAGTAAAGATTAACAATAAAGATATTAACAGTAATCATTACCGGTATCGATACTGCAGCAGTATCACTTATAACAGCACTTGGAGAAATATATCTTAATAATTCCGGTGATAGGAAATTGCATGGAAAAGAACTCAATAAAGTTTCATTTCTCTCTCAGTGCGATCCTATGTAGCATAACTCATTCATCGTACCCATCGATCGGTAACACGATTAAGCGTTATTTTTGGTAAGTTTTGTTCTGTTGGCGGCAACCGTTGCAAGGCACGCTAGAGCTTCAAGATCTGGAGACGCGCACCAAGCTATTAATGTGCAAAATATTAATTAGAGCTTGTATAAATAGACATATGTAATAAGACCAACTCGCTTACTGATTATTTCACATAGAATTTTTTCAAGGACCAAGAATTATAACTGGAAAATAGCTTGAATTCGAAGTCTATCTTCTATAGAGAATGTTGTGTGTCAGCGTATTTCAAAAATTACGCAAGAGGAATATATCTTGTAAAAAAATTTTCTTTTTTTCACGAAAAATTACCTCAGTATTATTATGTATTGCGATTTTCGACATCATTACAAAATTAACGTCAACGTTAGATAGAATTAAGATTCTTGGATGCTCGCTGTAACTGCCCTTCTTTGATGACGTCGGAAGCGAGGAGAATCGTGCCAACTTATGTGACGATATATGCGGAAATAAAAGAAGAATATACGCACAAAAAACATTCGTGATCGATTCAGCACACTTGTAAAAATGTCCGGACGCTTTCTTTTAATTTGAACGATTAATAAATAGCCATAAATTAGTGCAACATGCAACTCATGTTTTTAACACATCTTTTCTCATGATTGCTGTTGCGTTCATTCTATCGGCTATTTATTAATTGTTCAGATTAAAGGAAAATATCTAGATATTTTTACAAATGTATCGATCATGAATGTTATTTTGAGCGTGTATTTTTTTATTTTCATATGTACCGTCACATAAATTGGCATGATTTTCCTCGCTTCTGACGTCATCAAAGAACGACAGCCGCAGTGAGTAACCAGGAGCCTTAATACAGTGAAAGAAATTATTTATAACTCACATTTATTTGGTTCTTGGTCTTCGGAGTGTGTGAAGGAATTGATTGCCGCAGCGTTCCTCGTGATGGTCTGCTTTCGAGCTTTTCGTTTCTGGCTTCCTACAAGAAGGGCTTTCTCCGATTCCTCGGAAACCACATTCGTCGCATGAACTCTTCGAGTTTGGCCGTTCGTCTGGCCGCTAGCAGACGAATTATTCTGGTGCTTCTTGCTCGCCGTGGAGTTGAACTTTTGCAGGATTTTCTTTTTCTTCGTACGCTGCTGCTTTTTCTTCTCTTGAAATTCTTCTAAACTTAACGACGGCAATGCCTCGATCTTCTTTTCCAAATTGAAATCCCTAAGCGAACGTTTATTGTATACTTGTTAGATTAGATTAGATTATCATAGAATTATAGACAGTCCGATAATAGAAACCTACTCAGCTCGAAATCTTTTGCGTGCCGTCCAAGGTCCAAAATCTACGTGAGCTTCGGCTCCCTCGGTCTCCGTATCTTCGGGCTTGGAAGCTTCCATGTTCCCTTCAGCGCTAGATATAACGGATACATTTCTGAGCTATTCTCGTATATGAAGAGCAAAAGGCAGCGCGGTACTGAATTGGATTAAAAATATTACCTCTCCACAAGATGTTCCAGTTCCCCACGGGAACTGTTTCCGCCCTCGCTGCTCAAGGAATCTGTCTTTTCACTGACATTTGAGGAAATGGAATTTCTTCTTTCGTTCGGACGTTCGTCGGAGCTAACGCGAGAAAATAGTTCGGCTTTTCAGTTCAGTCATCGATATTTCACGTTAACGTAAATCGATATTCATGGTATCCATGCAGATCTGATATTTAACATCGTCTTAAATTCATCTTCAGATACTTTGTAATCAATGAAACGATCCGTACAATATCTGAAGATGAATGTTTACAGAAACTATGAATACCGTCTTTAGGACTAAATTTCATACGTGTTACCTACCCTTGGCTTGTGGTCACTCGTCTTCGTTTGCTTTGTTGCCCAGGCGGACCGATATTTTTCATCTGTTCGGCGAGGAACTTTTGATAACGCACACCCTTACACGTCCTTTCGCTGCGAAAGTTATTCTCCTCCGGTGGCGTCGTTAAGAAAGAATTTATCGCGTGTTTCTCGTCCTCCACGACCTAAACGATTCATCGTGAGTACACCAACGCGAATGAGATATTATTTTACCAAGCGATTTAGAAAACTCACTGCATTCTTTTACACACGCATGAGTCGGTTCTTACCGTCTCGTGTTGCTCGTTGTTGTTCGACTCGGTCCTTTTTCTCTTCTTTTCGCCGAAGAGGTCCGCCTTGCACTCCCTTTTCTGTTCATCTTGAAACGGTGATTCCGTGTACCTCTTCTTGGGCGGTTTCGGCACAGCGTCACTCTCCGTCCCTATACCGTTGATCGCGGTCTGTTCCTCGAACAACTCGGCCTTCTGAGGAGTGAAGAGAGAACTGAGACCGCCGATCTGCGACTCGTCCGCCAATTTGCCCGGTTGAATCGATTGTCCGTCCCGCCTGTCTGACTTTGTACAATCGGAAGACTCGTACTCGGATTTGACACTGTTTGCGGGCTGCGCACCGCCGCTACTCGATTCTTGCTTCTTGTTGGTAGGCCTAGTGTTCAAGGTGCGGAGTGGAGGAGCCGGCAATTTGTACCACTTGAAGTCAGGATTCGCGTTGAGAAACGCATCCTTGTACTGAAAAGAAACGAAAAGTGAATTGTAATGTATCTGTATGAATGGAGAAAAATCAAAGAGAATTATTACAAATCGTATCGGTTTTACATAAACCGCGCTGCTCTCCGTGTAATCCCAATGACGGGAAAATCAACGCAACGACGTTTTATTCTTGGCGACGCGACCTCCTGTTATTTTCGCATACTTTCCAGAACTCGACAGAAATTTTTCTAAAATTCGTCAGAACTTTGCAGAGCTCACGAGAACTTTCCAGAACTCGCCAGAACTTGGTCGAGTTCGCGGGAATTTTGCAGGACTCCTGAAAACGCTCCAGGGCGATTTTCTCGTTCGCAACGTTTCACGTTTACCTCCTGCGCGAGATTCGTGTAGGAACGCTTCTGATCGGGATGCAACGTCGCCCACCATTCGCCCAAGACCCTCGTGACGGCTCGATTCTCCAAGTGCGGATAGCTGGATCTGACTGACGCGCGGTGCCTCTTGCAGAAGATTAGGAACGCGTTCATGGGACGTCTCGCATGGTGGGCCGGCTCCCGTGATTCGCGTGGCTCCTGCTCGCACACAATACAGTCTTACACGTGTATATCTGCGAACTGTGTATGAGCGCGCCTTACGCGTGCAACGAACGCGGTTATATAAGGAAGTTATATATTACGAGAGAAGATGTCGCGAGTTCATCCTGCCTCTCTTCACGTGGCAGCGTTCGCGAGGGCTTCACAGATAACATTTGCTCCCCTTTTCACCGAATGCGGATCAACCAAGTGTAGAGAAAAAAGCGTCCTCCACGAGTCAGATCTATTTTTTCTCCTCTCTAACTGATAAGATTTGACGAATTTTACGTTCGATCGCGAATCGTTCACTTGTTGTTTACACGTGAGAAACCCGAAAGGTATTCCGAGCGATTCCACATTTCACGAGATTTCACGAGCGAAAGAGGCGAATTCGCTCTTTCGCCGAGCCCCGTCGACGAATGAGACATCCGCGCGGTGTGTGTATCATCATCTTGCGCGGTTTCGCATTGCCGTAAGTGGCCATGTCGCCGGTGTGTCGGTGAAGCCTTTGAAGTGACACACACGGCCTGTCAATTTCTGAGGGTCGTACGTTGCCGCCTGCTGAAACTTTTACGCCCGACATTGATCCACATACGACTCAGTGCCGGAGCCTTTGGCCCGAGCGAGCGAGAAAGAGAGCACAAAGAGCAAGGAAAGAAGATAAAAGAAAAAGAAAAAAAGCGAGGAGGGTAGATCCAAAGGAGAGAAAAGGCAACCGATCCGAGGAAACGCGCAGCGCGACGTCTCCAAAAATAAGCGAGAAAGCGCCGCGGATCGCCGTCGCGCGCGCGCACGAGAGAGAGAAAGAGAGAAAAAACTAGTTCAGCACGCGAAACGGACGACGTGCGTGCACAATTGCAACATATGTCTCAGACGGCGCGACGTTTCGACGCGAAGGTGGGAAGGCGCGCCTGCGGAAACGTAATAACATACGACACGCTCGATCGGCCGGATGAGTCCGAGAGGGAATCCGCTCTGTCGCAAGGCTAACGCGTCGTCGTCGTCGTGCAAATCATCGGTCGCGTTTATTCGCGATGACACGGAGATTTCGTGACAGAGAGAACCCGCGGCCCGCTCGCCCAACTATGCCGTCCCCGTATGGCAATTAATTGCGCTCGGCGAAACGCTCGGCCGAGCGTGTGCGTCCGGATCGATTGTACGCGCGTCTCGATGTGACACAAAGCTTGACGCGAAGCGCCTTCGACAATAATAATAATAATGTGACGACGACGACGCTTATCTGCGGCCGAGATACAAAGCGCGATACAAGCACCGAGCGAGACAGCGCGGAAAGCGGGCGGTCGATTATCTCCGAACGGGACTTCCGAGGGGGCGAAAACGCGCAGAGGACGATCTGGGTGGGCATAGCACCGTGCGGAAGGCGAATTACGGCCTCGTGTATTCCCGACGCAGGAAATGTAACGGAGAGAGAGAGAAAAAGAGACGTCGTTCCACCTTCTATCCTTTTCTCCCTCTCTTTCTCGCTCTATCTCCGTGCTTTCCTCTGGAAACACAGATAGACGAATCGACAGGGGATTTTCCCGACGAAATACACTGCGTCGTCGCCGCGGAAACGGTTCCCCGAAGCGGCCTACGACGATCGTAATCGGCGCATATGTTTTTCGCGAAGACCACGGAATCGCGACTGCTGCACTGAATATGAGGCATTCCAGGCAGGCCGCACGTCTCGTCGCTTTTTCGCACATCAGGAGCAGGAAGGGCGAGAGGAAGAAGAGGCAGGCGAAGAGGATCACGTCGTCGACGAGAGCGCAAGCTGTCATACGTTGCAACGTCTCGGCGCAGCGAGCGCTATATTACGGCGCTTTGATTGCACCACCGTCAGCAAATTTCGCGGAGGATAGAAGGAGACAGAGAAAGAGAGAGAGAGAGAATGAGTGAGTGAGGGAAGGAAAAAACAGATCGGCTCGGACGACGGGTTCCCCGGAGTGACCGGGAAGAGATAACACTGTTGGTAGCTCACTCACATCATCCTCGTCGCGCATTTTCACCGTCGTCTCTGTCTATCTCTCTCTCTCTCTCTCTCCCTCCCTCTTGGCACACCGAACGTCGCACCGCCCGTCCGTCCGTCTGTCTGTCTGTCGCGCACTGACAGCTGCTCGACTGACCGATGTAAATATCGCGACTGACTGCGCGATCTTTGAATGAAGACGTGCGATTATCCGGGAATGCGACGCACACGGGGGAAGCCCCGTGGGGATCACGTTATCCCGGGGAACGTCGTCGGGGTCCACGTAGACGAAGTCTCTCACAGCCGTCGCGCCCCGTCTCGTCCCCGTGTGTCTTTCTCGTCCGCGAGCGTGCGAGCGTCGTCGTCGTCGTCGGCCGCGAGAAAACGACGGAACGTTACGCGCGACAGACAGACAGATCAGCCGTGACTTTTGACACAAAAGCGACGCGTCGGCACGCGCCGTCCTGTGCGCCCGACGACAATCACGTCGTCGTCGCGCAGGGTCCGCGTCGGCCTCGCGACGTCGCTCGTCTCCTCTAAGTCGACGGGAAAATCGGCCGTGCGCGGCTTACTCACCTTACGTTGTTGCTCGTTGGCAGCCATTTCTGATTTCACTTGACAATTCACTCAGCGGCGCATAATACAGATAAAGCTGCGGCACACTGGCGCTCCGCGCGCTGTCCTCGCACGGTCTCACTCGCGCCCACGGCGCACACGCCCGCCCTCTCTCTCGCGCGCGCACGCACTCGCCGTCCTTTATGCGCCTGCGTACGCGTACTCCTCTCGCTCGCTCTGTCTCGCTCCTACCAACGCGAGCGCTTGACACACGGCCCGTTCGCGGCCCACGTGAGAGAAAATTCTCCTCGGACGGCGTGCGAGAGAGAAGAGAGACATCCATTCGGTCATTCATTCGTTCATTCGTTCGTTCGTTGCGTCAAACGGAATTTCTCGCCCGTCTCGCTCACGTTTTCGGCGGATTCTGAAAAGGTCCCGGAAGCGACTCGAGAACACGTTCCGCCCGAGTTGGACAGGAGCGGAGTCCCGGAAGTTTTCGCCAAGCTCTTCAATGAAACGTCTCGAGATCGTCGACGTCGCGACCGCACGTCGGCGCGACAGTTTCGCTCGCGCGTGCTCGTCCCGATATGCGATCCGATCGTCGACGATTTCTGCGAGATTCGATCGACTCTCTCACGGCGGCGGACGCTCGCGTCGAGCGCGGAAGCTGTTCAAATCGTCGCGCGCCGCAGTGCGGTCCGCGCATGCGCGCCCCCGCCGATGCCGAAAGTCCCCAGATCGTGCGTATGACGAGAACAGCTGATCGCAATGGTGGAGCAACAGCTGTCGACCGGATGATCGTCGAATTTAGAGCCGTCGCTTCTCCCCGTCGCTCCCCCGCCGCCAGTGGGATAAATTTAGTAGCGGCCAATGAGTAAGCGGATGATTCACTTTTTCGTGGGATCGCTCCCGAGGGATGCGAAACGCACGGAGAGCGGACAATTAATGACTTCTCTCCGCTTATCGGGATCCTTCGCCACGAACTTTGACCGATATCGACAGGTTGCGCTTTGTTCGAGAGGGATTTGACTTTTGACTTCGACTATTGTTGACTTCGAGAGATAACGGACGATCGATAATGTGACGAAGAAAGAGTCGTATCTATAGATAAGGTAATACGTCACACATTAAAATATACGCCGAGTGGAATGCAAGATTCGGAATCAATGGAGGTTGATTACGTCGACGAGAGAAAAACATTAAGATGGAATGGTTGATTTGTAATTTTGAGACGATGCTTTGTGCTCTGAATCATTATGTAAATTATCATTTATTTAGCTTTCTTTTTTTACTATACATTGGTGTGTCATCAATCGCAAATAGAACGACTTTTTAAGATTCGAGAAACAAGACGGCCATTATGCGTTACTTAAAGACGAAGATTTCAGGCATAAGACATTATCGTAAATCGATAAATCGGTTATAATATACGATCCGTATTCTGACCTCACTTTTATCGGTAAAATTTTTGGTTTTCCGTTGAATTGAGAGTATAAATTATATCTGTATTATATTGAGAATATAAATATATCTATGTGTATAATATTTTCAAGTAGACAGAGTCCAATATATCGTTAACGAGAAACCGTAGCCTGCTAAGATCACCATGTCGACTTCTATATTTAATCGACGTCACTCGAATCCGATCTCTCTCGGATTTCAAATGATCCGCGCATTCCAACGCCGCGTGAATGCGGATGCGGTTTGATGAGCGCGCACCGCGCCTAGGTTAGGTCGGCTTCCGGTCCGCAGCAGTCCGTCCCTCGCCGACAATCGCTATTCAAAACACGTCGCCCGGCGAAAGAAATTCAAAGACTCGCGGGAGCGACGCCGGCCAGGGCAGGGTAAACGACGTCGGCCGTGGTGTTCCGGTAAGTTCCGCGACGGTGTTGCCGTTGGGACGCGTCGCCTTCCGCGTAACGGTCCGACGGAATCCCCGCTGCGAGTGTTTATAACCTCTACACCGTTCGCTCCGTTTTCAAGATGGCGTGGCAAGGTCGCGGCCACTCATCGTGGTGGTAGTGGTGCTCTCGACGTCGTCGCCGTCGCGAAAAGTCCCTCCTTAGTTCCGGTGCGAAACCGGCGCACGTCACTTACCGTTCTCGCGGTGATAACCGTAGGGGAAGGTGGGGGGAGGCAGTGGAGAAGAAGACGGCTATGCCAATGTTGGCGCGCACATCGGCGTAGCTTGGTGCTTCTTCGATCTTTTTTTCCTCGCTTTTTCTTCCTGGCCGGGCGCGCGACCACCGATGTAACAATGCGGGAAATTCTGCTGGCGGTGTTTTCCGTGGTGTCCAGCCTGCTGATAGTGTTCAGTCTCGTCTCGCTGGGTGAGCAACGTGGATTGCATGGGTGACGTAATTGCGTTGACGGACGCGGTGGAGACCCGGCCCATCTCGTGTTTACATCGCGTGTTTATCTCGGTTCGCGAAATCGATACAACGGAGCTCCTGTACGGCCCCGGGGTCTCGCACACTTCAACGTCGAGCGCGTCCGGGAGTTTCCGCGTCGCGGAGATAACGATCACCTCACGTTCTCGGTTTTCAGGTTGGTTCCTGGTGTGGAAGTTCTTCCTGTCGCGGTTCCGCTTCGTGAGAGAGCTGCTCGGTGGAATGGGCGAGTCGTCCTCCGTGACGGATCTGAAGAACGGCCGCTCGCGCATCAAGAAAATTCGCCGTGAGTAAATATATACCGTACACCGGACGACGCCGAAGCTGCAGCCTGCCCTTATTGAACAACTGCTCGTTTCGACACATTGCGTGAAAAGTTACGTAAAACGAAGGAAACCGCTGTTACTTTTGGACACCATCTCGCGACGAAACACATCCAGCTAGAATGTCGGTGAACATACGTTGCGCAACCACCGACGACCTGCTGAATATTCAGCATTGCAACCTGCAATGCCTGCCGGAGAATTATCAGATGAAGTATTACCTGTATCACGCTCTGTCCTGGCCGCAGCTGAGCTACGTGGCGGAGGACGAGAAAGGAAGGATAGTGGGATACGTGCTCGCCAAGATGGAGGAGGATTGCGAGGACAACCCGCACGGCCACATCACCAGTCTGGCTGTGAAGCGCTCTCACAGGCGGCTGGGGATCGCCCAGAAGCTGATGAACCAGGCGTCCAGGGCGATGGTGGAGTGCTTTGGCGCAAAGTACGTATCGCTGCATGTGCGCAGGAGTAATAGGGCCGCCCTTAACTTGTACACGAGCAGCTTGCAGTTCGAAGTGTCGGAGGTGGAGCCCAAGTACTACGCGGACGGCGAGGACGCTTACGCCATGAAGCGCGACCTCACCAGCTTCCATCACGAAAAGGCTCTCCGGGATAGGGCGCACAAGGAGGGTAATGTTCACACGCACCTCGGCAGATGCTGTGGCGATCATTCTTAGTCTACTCACTACCTGTTGCTGCTGCTGCCGTCGTCGTCGTCGTCGTCGTCGTCGTCGTCGTCGTCGTCGTCGTCGTCGCCGCCGCCGCCGCCGCATCGAGTCCAGTATGTATACCTACGCTGTGTTCGCTCACGCAGGAACTCGAGTCTTCAAGGGGGTATCGCCGAATACCGAGCTGAACACGGATTCTTCGTGTTGTCTCTGCAGGAGAGAGAAAACCTCTGCTTATCAAAATTCTACCTAGTACGTGTAAAAAATATTGTATATGCGACTGTGTACGTGGAGACTACCTGTTGTTGGGATCTATGCGACGAAATGAGGTTACCAGTTTGGTTCCGATTTGTGTACATGAGTTACCGCCCAAGTTTCTCATCCCGATGGCGCACACCGTGATGATTCGACTTGCGGATTTTAAACATGAGAAATAAAGGTTTCTGGAGAAGCTGTCTCTCGTCGTCTCTTTTCATTATTTCTCGATTCTCTCTCTATCTCTGTCTATTTCTCTCTCTCTCTCTCTCCCTCTCTTCCATGAATCTTTATTGAAAAACGATCGAAACCTATAAATGTACAGATAACGTGTGTCAATATGTGCAAAAATTAATCCTTGCGGGATCTTGGTGGATCGGAGAGCGTGTCGCGAAATACGGTCGAGGAAATCAACGTTTCTGCGGAGGAGCCACTGAAAATGAGAATTCGATTTTATACAACTTCCCTTTACTTGCGTTTAAAGTTTCGAGTCTGTGAATAGTAGTCTCTCGCCTAGACACCTCTCTCGAATGCTTTGTATCCTTTTCAGGTATATTTCGGCCTTAAAAATTATTTTTGACATTGCACGATATTCAAACGAGTTTACTCCGCTATTGCATCGGCTATATCAATGCGCTCATGTGTACATATTCTGGTTTTGTAATATGAATAATTATTATGTATATATATATATATATATATATAATATATGTATAAATATATCTATGTACAAATAAGGTGTTCTTAGAAGGTAACACAATTCAATTCAGCTTGTGGCGCGTCTCGATCTAGCGAAAGAGCGCAATTATTGTTCGGTACAACGGCAGGATTTCTCCAATGACAAAACGAACAGAGAGAGAGAGAGCGCTCTCGCGCTCACCATATACCGAAAATACGATTCTAAGCGTCATAAGAAAACGATTCGATGTATGTGTGGTAAAGTTCCTCTAAGGATATCACGCGTGTATTAAACTTGCCGTTCTGCAACAAAGTGTGCGTAAAGTACGCGGCAAGACGTAAACGGTAAGCTAATTAACCGATTTACGGCCAATTATTCTTGGGCCGTGAGAGAATCCAATTGGTTAATTAGCTTACCGCTCATGTCTGGCCGCGTACTTTACGCCATTGTGGAACGGTCTTTACATCGAGAGTTCTTCCTCTAATTTTTCTTCTCGTGTAACTTTAGAACAACTACTCTCGACACGTAGTGTATATATGCAGTTCGTAAGTTGTACAATAATAATAATAATAATAATAATACAAAATATCGTTACGTACATACGCGTTATGAGGGGACGAGAGCGCTCAGTTGACGCTCCTGCGAGGTCTCGGGGCGGTTCTACGCGGATTCCTTCACGCCGCGGAGACCTCACGGAGCGGTGTACGACTACGCGAAAGGATTCTTCCTTTCACGGATACCACCGTACATACAAAGAGAAATTACGACAACGCTCGACGAATTGGTGTTGTTTCTTCTCTCCCTCATACGCGCGATTGATGTCAGTCGAACACCTAACAGCCTGCGTTACAAAATGCGAAGGAAAACTATTCCACTCGAACGCCTACGGCACACGATACACACATCCGAGCGCGCGTGGGTTCAGCGCGAATGATTAAAAGCACCTATCGGTTCTTATGTATAAACCTTTGTTCGTCCTCATCGCGTCTAAATATACAGTAAATCCTACGTAATAGTAACTGCCTGCCATATGTGTTTATATATATATTACAAAAATGCGCCGCCAATAAATTATAATACAGGTGTCTCGTAAACGAGGTGTATAAATCCGCTTCTCTCTCTCAGCACGGGAGGTATGCTCTCGGGTGTATAATCTCTACAAAATAAATGTAAGCTTTTCCGTGAGGATAAATATCGCGAGGAGGGAGCATCGTCGTGTCTCTCGGTCGGTCGACGCAACAGCAAGTTGCCGGTGTGAGCCCTCAAGTTAAAGAAGAGAACGCCAAGAGAGATCGCATCTCACGGGGAATCCTAACGAACGCTCGCGGAATCGTTGGCGAAGCTGCAACGAAACGGCCGGTTGTGCCTCGATCACACGTCGTGCTGACGATGACGTGTGGCGAAACGCCGCTCACGGTGTCGCGCAATTTCGCGCATGAGCCGAGTTCGGTGGCTGGCGAGTTAGTTTTAAGTACACTTTCGCACGTATGGAGAAAATGCCATTGGAAAACGAGTGCGCCGCGAATCGGCGGTCGGACCGTGTGCGCTCGAAAATGATCAAGCCGTGGGTTAAGTTTGTTTTGGACGTGCCGAAAGCATCCCAGGTTGAGAAAAGGAAACCTGGTGGGAATCTATATAGGAAATCCATATGGATTCCCATGGTTCCCCCTGAGGATTTGGACCAAAAACTCAGATCCTAAGTAACAGTCCATGTGGGTTCCCACCTATGGATTTTGAATTTCCTATATGAATTTTGAATCTTCTACAGGGTGAACCACGCAACGTGATCAGTTTAGTTTATTCTGCTGTTAGTGGACCGCTTGAAAATTTTTTTGTCTACTACAACATAATTCAAGGTGAGCTTTGAGATCATCTTAAAGTTCACTTTGAACCATATGGGTTCTTATAGATTCTCACAGAAACCCAACTGGTTACTTTTTTTTTTCAACAGGTATTATCCCATCTTCTTTTAGCATGTAACGAACAATAATGGAATGACGCGTTCAGCATGGAAACGTCCAAAGCGAACTTAGCCATGAGGCCTGTTCTTTTTCGTTGAACTCGCTGAATCGCTGCATTAGTTTTAACTTGTACTAGTTTCTTTCTACTCTTTCTTCCATCTTATCTGTATATTCGTCTCTTTTTAAGTTCTATAAATGTACACTGGTTTAGCGAAAAGACCTATTATGTCTTCCGGGATCTCAACGTGGAGGTCACGTCTGATTTTGCGTAAATGCATGGATATCAAATGAGTACCAATATAAAGGAATCATGATTAAAAATTTCCGGTAAGTGACGCCGGGAATGAGAGCACATTGCAATTATATCTATTTAAATTTCAATTATTGAAAATTTCAATTAATATACCAAATGAGAATTTCGACTAATATTTCTGAAAAATATAAAAACACTGGTAGCCATTTTCCACGAAAATTCTGGATGTCTTTTACGTGTAAACAGCGACCTTATCGTTCGAGGGAGACTCACGAGTACGTGCACTCGTCGAGATAAGTCTCAACAGGGACGACAGGTTGTAAATTCGATCCGCCGCCGACGGCACGGCTCACAGTTGTGCGCTCATATTATCAATTCGCTGTTATGGAAGAGCCGTAAAAAGGCCTGGGCGCCCGAAAAAGTCGTAAACCCGGCGGTAAAAAAGCTTCGTATAAAATTCGTTTAAAATCCTCCTCCAAAAATCCGTGCGTAACAAGTAGTGATCCGTTTCTGTCTCCCGTTCTCTTTCTCTCTCCTTGCAGGGTTTTTGTATCCCGGATCGACGTGAAACTTGTTACCAGCAGCGGAACTGGACTACGTTCGGACTTCTTGGTGTTAAGTTCTTTTTTTTCTCTCCTCGTTGCGAGAAGAGGCATGCGCTTAAACCTCAAGATAGAACATGCTCGTTCCGCGATTCAGCGTGTCGAATAACGTTGCTTTAATATCGAGCTTCGATCTCGCCTCCGAGTGTAAAAAGTAACCGGGCGGTTCTCCCCTCCGTAGAAGTTAAAGGTGAGACTAAAGTCAGTTGTCGCTGGCGGAAACGGCTCAAAAAAAAAAAGACACGAGTACGGAGGTTTCGTCTAGTTGTTCGCGCGCGTATGCCCTCTACTGTGTATACGTACATTTATAAAACTACTAACACACCTTTAATCCTCGCCGGCGTCGTACACGTGTTTCGGCTTGGCGAGAAACGCGCGGTGCACTCGGCCGAGTCGCAAAATTCGCAGGAGCCGTGCCTCAAGGAGTGTCACACGTGTGCCGGGGAGCTATCGTCGTCGTCGTCCTCCGCGCGTCTCCATCTTAGCGAACGACGTGTACACGGCTATGTGTGTTCTCTACGAAAGATTACGATGCTTACATTGTTTCACGGTTACGCAGTTACAGGGATACTCGTTTCTTTAAGATTGCGGGCTTCCTTCGTTTCCTTAACTTATCTATATACCGGAGCTTTGGCAGTAGCAGGTTCCTAGGCCACGGACTCTCTCTTTATTAACGATAAATGCGAAGGGTTAATAGCTGCACGACGCGCGCACACGCGCACACACCGCGATGTGCGTGCGCGTAGCAAGCCGCGTTTTTGTTTTACGGGTGAAACGCATTGTGTTTGATTATTTCGCCGTTTGGAATTGAAAATACTATCCACCGCGATTCCAAACGAAACTACTACCTTTTGCACTAGTGCTTGGTTGCCTCTCCGGAAAAGAGAGAAAGGCGCTCCCAGGACTATCGTATTTCTCGCCCGTGCGCTGAATCTCGAAATAATAACAGGAGCTGCCACGTGTCTTCTCGTAATCTCGCAAGACGATGCTTCGAAGGTCGCGAAAGTTACCTGAGACAGACACTTATATGATTCATCTTTACGTAACACGGCGGCAGCTCGTGATCTCACGAACGCGCCAGGGAATTCTATCGCGATTCGCTCGAAGCTTCTCGACGGGGGAGCCGAGACGGTGAGATTTCGCGTGCGAGTCTCCGAGCATCGTTTTCGACGAATTAGCTACGACTCGCTCGGTGTTGTTGAAACCTGATCGCGCGTTAAAGTCTAAAAACGCCTCTCGATCTTCCTCGGTCTCCGCGGTCTCAAGATAAGCGAGAGAGGAGCTCTCGATCGCATTTGAATTCGAGGAACTTGTGGTTTCGCGGTCCCGTCGTTGTCGTCGCCGTCGTGACGATGATCGTCGGGGTTTCTCTTCAGGGCTGCTGAGCGGCGTGTATCATGGCGACCTTGAGATCCTTGGCCAGATGCGACACGTCGACCACGCTGTCGACCATGTCCTGGACCGCGCTGACACTCGGGAAGAATTGGGCGGCCTGCTTCGTCTTCGACACCGTCTGCGCAAGAGCCTCGTTCAGGGCGTTCGCGCACTGCAGCACACGCGTCCGCACGTCGTTGCGCGTCACGTTCCGGTGCACCGTGTCGCCGATGTGCACCAGCCGGTGAGCGCTCAGCACCACGAATTTGCCGTGCGCCAGGAAAACCTGTAGGACAGCCCACCCCATGTTACTTCATTGATTGATCGTGTTTAAAAATACATAAATATTAATATACATTTTGATTGGAAAACGGAAAGAACTTTTGCATCAACCCAAAACATTACTATTTATAAAGGCAGATTATTTAAGTCCTTAAAAATGAATCTTTTTCCATTATTTTATTAATTATTCATCTCTCATTTTATAATATAAGAATAACATTTAGTTATCCGCGTAGAGTCTCTTCATTTGACAATTCTCTGTTCCGCCATTTTTTTATCAAATGAAGAACTAGATCAATTACAGAGAGAAGTCAGACATGTCCAGACTCTTGTTTGAGTAACTTTTGAGGACTTGAGTAACTCTAGTCGATACCACTGCCGAGTCTCTACCAACATACTCACCTTGGGTGGTTGATTGTGCTCGACCGTTTGCAGGAAGGCGTCGATCGCGTGAGTCAGGTGCGCGCCGTGCGTGATCACCTGAGCGGCGTAAAAGGCTAATAGTTGCTTGTCGTTCGGATCCATGGGCGTCGGTGTCGTGGGTGCCATCTGAATCGCCGCATTGTCCGCCTCAGACACCAGCAGGTCGTAATTGTTGCGCAGCTCCTGCGGCAACGAGGCCCTCAGCTCCTCCCGTTGCTTCGCCACGACCTCCCGCGAATCCAGATTCACGTAATCGTAATCCTCGCCGGCGCCGCTGTTGTTGCTGCTGCCCGTGGAGATGATGGAGGCTCGTTTGAAGAGCAACGTGGAATTCCCCTGTACGCGCGCACACACACACATGTATAGAGAAAAAGAGATAGGAAATCGTATCGTTGATTAAACTAATTTTCTATCCAACTAAATTCTCCTAGTTATCATTTCAACGATGAGATAATTATCAGCGACTATTCGAGACTGGAAGCCGTTAAAAACGTCACGGTGCTGCGAGAGATACTCACCTGAATGAAACTAGCAACCTGACGAACGTCTTCCGTGAGTGCCCGGGCGCACGCGATCAGCTGATCGAGGGGATCCGGCTGTGCAGGTGGTAATAACGAGGGCGGGGGTCCATTAGTAGGTGTCGGTGTATCGCCACCGCCACGACATAGCTTACTCGCGTCCCATTCTATCGTGTCCAATTCGGTAGCGGCTTCCTGCACGAGCTTGTCGGAATCACGAAGCGCCTTCACCAGCGGCCGTAATTTCGTCGCCAGACCCTTATCAGGGGCTTTACCCGCGTTACCCAACGTACCTATGCGAGAGGTGCAATTTTTGCAACGGTCATGTTCACAACAATGAAGTCTACGAGAACATTTTCACGAGGAACGTGTATAAAATTCACCAACTAAATATAGAAAATAATTAATTGATTAATTTCGGATGTTGAATTTAAAATGTCGAGAATGAAAAATTCGAAAAAAAATGCCACAATTGCGGAATCTTTATTTTGTGGGAATAAAAAGTAACGTAGAGGATGTCACTATCGATTTTTCTTTTCTTTTCTAATGAGAAAAGCAAGTAAGCGAAAACGATGGATCACCTTCGGCAAACTCGGCGAGATCATGGAGAGACGTTCTCAGCCTGAGAGCGGCCAGCCTGAGGTCCATGAGAGTGGCGTCCAATCGCTGCGGCGTTCTCCAGCCGGGACTCACGAAGCCCAGTAGCCTCGCTATCGCGGCGGACGCCTCGCTCTGCAACCTCTGCAGACCCTCCAAGGCGGAGTCCAGTTCTAGCGGGAGCTCCTTGCTCACCGGCACGTCGTAGATTTGTTGCGTGGGCGGCGGTGGTGTCGGAGTCTTCGGTATGGGAGTGTTGTGCCGGGACGGTAATGAGGAGGCTGGAAGACGTGGTCGGGGTACATCGTAATCAGGAGCGGCCAAACTCGATCTGGAATACAGAGAACGTCATACATGGGGCGAGCGTGAAAACAGATTCGGAGCGGGATTCTTTTCAGATTCATTATTAATAAATGGTCGTGAAAACATACACAACGTTCTTACCCTTTTCAGTGCTCCAAGGTGAATTTTCACCAATTCCGGTTAACCTAACCGACCGGTTAATTCTACGGAATCGACCAACTGCATTGATCAGTTTAGCTCATTATTATTAATTAGCCAGTGCGATTGGTCAATTCCGTGGAGTTAATCAATCGATTAAGTTAACCGGAATTGGTGAAAATGGGCATCCTAAGGGATGGTATCGAGATTTCCGTTTGAAATTGCAAGAACGATGCGACGGCGCCTTTCAGACTTTCATCCTGAATCTAAGCTAACTACCGCCGTGTAGTTTCTAAAATGATTTAAGATCCGAAAGGCGTACTCGCAGCCGAGTTTCGCGAGACATTTTTTACACGACGACGTCGTTACGACACCCTTGGAGCGCAGAGGGTTAAAGAAGTATAAGTAAGGTATCACCATCTCCGGCTCCTGGAGACCGTAAAAATTTCAAACTCTCACGTCCTACTTAGTGCCAACTTTATTTTAAATTTCACACTTTACAAGGTTCTTGAAACTTTATTCAGTCCGTCGTTCATTTTACATGTGAGACTCCGGGACTTTTGAAGCCGGAGATTCCCGAATACTAAGCTCCAAGAGCGACCGAGGAAAATCCGTCGTAGTCAATGGCAGCAGAGAGAGAGAGAGAGAGAGAGAGAAGGCGGTCGTTATGCGACACACGTGGAATCCGGCCGAATAATGCGACGCATCGCGGAAATGCAAAGACGATACCTGTTCGAGCCGCTGAGAGATCCGTCGTTGGTGAGGCTGGAGGCTGAGCTGCTGGGCGTGAGGGGTTGTAAAGGTCGCGGCACGTCGTAGCAATCCAGGGGCGTAATGCCGGAGCCGGTGGAGCAATTGGAGTTAGGCGTGCAGGATGTCGGTGGCCGCGGGATGTCGTAGCACGACGGGGCCGGACTCGGGCTGCTCGCCGGTGACGGAATCACGGGAATCGCGCGCGGCGGCACGTCGTAGCACTCGTTCGTGTCGCCACCCCCGTTCGCGTTGTCGTTCGCCGAAGAGGTCGTCCGCGTGCTGCCGGTGTATCGTCCTGAGGGCGGATCAAGGTAACGACGTGCTTGAACCAACACCTCGACTCCAGAATCGCTCGAGTGTCTCCACCGTCGACCGTATCGAATTAATCTCGGGGGAATTAAGTTCCCCCCCCCCTCCCCCCTTCCCGATTCGAATTGGAGAAAGAACTTTCCTGTTTATCAACCCTTTGTTGTATAGTGACTTATATACGAGATACTCGCTTCTTTCACGCTTTTTCCATGTTTTTACGTATTACATAATTGGTTTCTGTAATATATTCGGCATCGTTACGTTCCTGAGACTAGTATGTATACGCGAATAATATAAATGTGTAATTGTTTTCTATTCTTTTGTAATAATAATTACGGTCACCGATGATCCCCACGGCGTTCAACGTGTTAATTAAACCACGAGAGATCGACAAGGAGGAAATAACATTGGCTGAATTGACGTGACGATGAACGGAGCAAACGCGCTTGAGCTAAAGGGAACAGAATATCTGGTAATTTCTCAGCACACTTCTAACGGGAAAAGAGAAATCTCGTTTCTCAAACACGCGTGTCAAATTTACGCCAATACGTCCAGGACCGAGAATTTGCTTGAAAGGGTCAGAAACTCCCCATCCACCAACGAAATCGCGCTCGATCCGTCCATTGTCACATTAATTCCACCAATCTTTTTCCTCCTCCTGCAGCTCTCGGCGCTCGATCTCGCGCCGAGAGGAGAGAGGGAGCGGGAGCGCGCGGAGTGTTAATCGATATCTCAATTAATGAATAAACTTTCGCAGACGGTTGCTTTATCGCGACGAACGGCCGCCGACTGTAGCTCTCGCGGAATAATACGTACCCGTATTGTGCGAGTGCTCATTGTTCGAGTTGAGGGGTGAATCGTGTCTGGAGGGTGGCGCGGGGCTGCCCCGGCTCGCTGGGAGGTCGTAGAGGTAGACATCCCCGCACTTCTGCGGTGTCACAACCTGCGGATCATCGAGAGCGGACGAGCGATTAATTATATCCCGGCTAATTGTCACACGCTCGCGTTGCCGTCAGTTACGCGTCTCACCAGCTGCACGATCGCTCGCAGCTGCCGTTGCCCGTTGCAGCAGTTGGCCCCGCGATCGTCTCAACCGAGTGATCGAACTCCGCGGGAAATTGCGTTTCTTTTCAGATCGACGCGGCTCTGAAAATGCAGTCGAGTAAGCGCGATCTCACAGCCGCGATGGAACTCGGTAACGAAGTTACCCGTGCGAACGCCAATCAGCTGTTACTCTTTCCGCCAAGTAATCTCCCGAGGACTTCGTTCGAGCGCGGTTACCGCAGTCGGGGATTAATTTCTACGAGATCGCTAATTGAGTTTCTTGCGAAGAACGAGATAGAAAGAGAGAAAGAGAGAGAGAGAGAGGAGGGGAGTCCCGCGGGAGAAGGACCGTTTCGACTTTCTCCCTCCCTGTCTATCAGCAAAATCGTCGGATCCTTCGGGATGAGAACACGGCGTGAGAAACGTTGTTACTTACGCAAATCTCAACGCTCTCGTATCGTAAAATTAGAGGCGTAATCACCGATCGGATCTAATAACCGCCGGCGAACGGCGCGAGCTTGCACATTTCGGCCGTTGAACCGTCCGGGAAAATGTAATTTTGCTGATAAAACGACGAGAGGAGAGACGGCGATACGAAGCGCCGCGCAGCGGGTAAATAGCGGGGAAGGAAGAGGAACGCGGAACATCCCCCGAGAGAACGTAATCTCGGGAGCTCATCGGTCGCTGCTTTGCAATAATACAAGCTCTCCTCCAACCCTTATGTTACGCTCAAGCGCACTTTTCTTCGACTCTCTCTCTCTCTCTCTCTTTTTTCACCTTTCATACGCGCGCTTTCCATACACGAGCGACAGATAAGAGTCACGAACTTTCTCTCGTGTAGAAAATTTGCACTACCGTCGTTTCCTTCGACGTGTGAGGAGAAGGAACGTCAGTAAACACGTGTCCTTGCATCGTGGATGAAAACTTTTGTGAATATTACGTTGTATGTGATATTTTCATTAATTATCATATATATAATTACTAATAATTATATTATGCATGTAATTATATTGGGTTGATGCAAAAGATCGTTCTATTAAAAATTAAAATGTATATATAATATTTATTTTTAAATAACCAATCTCGATTAAGTACGCGCTATTTTGCTCGATGATCTGTTATCCCGCTGTTAGCAGCATAATTACATGGTCGTAGAAACCCTGGGGAAGAACTGATGGAAGAACGGAACGAACTTTTGTATCAACCCAATATATATATATACAGGGTGTCCCAAACCAACAGGAACAGACTTTGCGAGGACGTGTAGATTAGATTGAGATGAACAAATGAGCCCTGTACCTTTTCGCAAACAACACGCCAAATTTCGAGTTATTAATTATTGAAAATGGCCATGTATAGAAGAATTCTATAATAACTCAAAAATTTGTCATGTGCAAAATAGTAAAGGACTCTTTTATTCAGAGTGGCCGGATCTACAAATATGTAACAGCTGTTGTATCTAGCGACAGACATCAGTATATTGAACTTTGAACCTGTCGCTACGGGCAACAGCTGTCGGATACTTGTAAATTAGGCCATTCTGAACAAAAAAGTCTCTTGCCATTCTGCAAATAACACTAAAATTTTTGAATTATTAATTAAAGAAACCTCTATAATTTATTTTCAATAATTAATAACTTAAAATTTTGCATAGTTTGCAAAGTAAAATAGCAGATGACTTTTCTGCTCAGTTTACACTGTTCTACGTTCAGACGAAGGATTGAAAGGTAAGTTTCGGTCACCCTATAAATAACATGTGCCATTATCTGCGAGTATATTATTATCGCATAATCTAAGTTTCCCCTGAAAAATAACTGTCGCGTATTTTCCCCGGGCACGAAAGTACACATTTCGGGGAATAAGCCGCGCCATATCAGTAAAATCAAATTTACGATACACACACGGCGGTAAAAATGCAGAGAAATTAGAGCTGCATCGCGACGTTGGAGGAAACGCCGGACACGCCCAGTGCATAAAATGGAGCAGCCTCGACCACGATATCGTGGTAAAAGCTCGCGCGCCGACCCTCGGCAATCTGTAATTTCCCGTGGATGGCCGGTTTCGTTGCCGAAGTGGAACAGCCGAGGCTTTTACTCACGACTAAGAGTTTTCGATCGGAGAGAGACTTATCGCGTATTCCGCGGGGTTGCGGGGAGGAAGAGACGCGGCAGCCTTAACGTTGCCCTGTTCAGGATTGCCGAGGATTCGACGGAATCTGGGTCAGTTGTTGTAGTTGGCAAGCGGACAAGGTCCACCCATCCTACGTCTTCGAAACCGCCCCCGACAAATCATTTTGACCCCATTCGGCTCGTCGGTCGAGAGAAATTCACGACGATTTAAATCGATGCAAAATTCAAATCAACCCAGAGGAGAAATCGAACTATAAGTGTGTGTGTATGTGTGTGTGTGTCGCCATCTATGAATAAACAATCAGCGATGAATCAACCAGATGTCGTTGATTAGCCAAATGTCATCATGAGAGGGTAGAAATCGGACGACTGAAGCGTCGTCGTCGTTGTCGAGGAAGCGCGGCCGCCGAACGTGCTCCGCGTGAATTAAAGCTGCACGCGAGTGTTCTTTGTTATTATGAATCGAATAGTACTATCGTAGTGGAGTGTAGTAGTGGAGGTGCGGGGGTGCGAGAGCGCTGGGAGAGGGTGGCGCGGGGAGGAGGGAGGGGTGCTGGAAGGTTGGAGCGCGCTCGAGAGGCCTCCGCTCCGAACCGAAGAGAAGGGAGTGGAGTACGGTCAGAGGGGTATAACGCGTCGGTCGATACCGGCGTCGTGGCACTAACTGTGAAAGGCATATTACGCCACGACGAGCGTGCGGGAGAAAGCGCGAGAAGAGAAGAGAGCGGAACAGTGGCGGATTTAGAGCTCGGCGGACCCCAAACGAAACCGGAGGATACCCGCGTTCCCTGCACTCGGAATCTCACAGCCGTGAAAGCGATTTTTGGAGCGACGGTATCGCGGAAAATGGCCATTCGGGGAATCGAGCATCTCGCTGATCCAATTATCCTTGACAATTATAAATTTTCGGGGTTCGGAAGGAAACTCTCGGCGAAGCGAGACCGTTCGGTAGGCGGTTGTCGAAAAATCCGTCACTGCGCTGGTGGCAGACAGTGACTTTATCCGGCCCTGATAGGGGTGAGAAGAGAATGGGAGGAAGAGAGAAATAAAAGGGAAAGGAAAGAGAGAGAGAGAGAGAGAGCTAGGGGGGAAGATAGAAAGACGGTTTCCATGGAAACGCGGAAGGAGGCTTCCCACCATCTGCGGAACTGGGACTTTCGGCCTGTCTCAGGCAGTGATAAGAATTTTCCGGCACGATCGCGGGAGGCTTTTCCTTATTTATCTTAACGACGTGACAATGTGACACGCGCACGGTGTATGTGGTATCGGTGTCGAGAAAAATTCGTAAAATCTGGCCCAGTGTCGCGAGGCAAGTGCAGTTGAGAATTCGCGCGCCTACGCGAAATTCGTCCGGCGTGCCGGTTTCTCCACTCGGGCGAAAAATCTGCTCGTCTCACGCGAATCCGTGTCGCTGTTTTAACGGGCTTTTGTCGCGATGAGTTTCGGTAACGGCCGCATCCACGTCGACTAATAAGCTCGACACAATCCGGCGTACATCGCGCACGCTACCTGGACGTAAGCGCCGGCGAAGTCGTAACCGCGCTAAACCCCGCCGCTCATTGTAAAGCACTCGCGCAACTTATGAACTTTTCCGCGCGGAAACGCGGCGCAACGCGAATGGCAAATACACCGGGAAGGAAAGGAGCAGTTTACGTGTAAATAAGCGACGCTGTAAAAACAGCCACGCGAGGAATAATCGCGTGAAAAGAAACTGCGCGGATTCTCCGGCGGCGATAAGACGAAACAATCGTCTCTCGAGAGACACGCATCGCGATTAACCCTTCGGCTACTAAACCACCACTACAGAGGCTTCCCTCTAACTCATTTTGTGGGATCGAGCTATTAAAGTGCTTTTCTTCTGTAAAGTACCAATACTCGAATATGTACCTTTCATTCATGGTCGGAAGAGTAAATATTTGTAGTTAAAAACCAAAGCCAAAACAATAAAATGAAAAAGGTTTAGATATATGTTCGGATATACTTTTACCTGAAGTATTCCAAAACCACTATATATCGTTGCCGGATGAAAATATCTCCAATTAGTACTTTATGTTACATTATATTAACATATTATATTAGATTTAATGAATTGCATAGTATGAAACAATGAAACGCCGATGGCGATATGTATAGTGAAATATTGTGTCGCTTTCCGCGGCGGAGCTGCATGTACAACAGCAGTATAGCTTTTCGTACAGGTCTGTGATAGGAGAAAGGATGTATATATAGAACGGGATTGTAATATGGAACTCGCACTTGTGCTAAAACTGTTTGAAACTATCGGCAGTTACACTCGTTAGAAACATTATCTTCCGTTTGAGGCACTCGAGAGTGCCGGCGTTAAAATGAACGCAGCATTTAGACGTGTTAATCAATGTTTCGGTTTACGAAAGTGCAATGTCGCAAAGTAAGATTTAACAATTTTTTCGTATGTATATCGTTAAGCGTATATTAAATATCTGTCTTATGTGTCGGATAATGCCAATAGCAAGATTAAAGTGTAAAAAGTGGTAGATTAATTATTTGGAAGTACATCTGCTACGTTCGAAATTAATCGGATTGCATTGAAAATGGCTGTTGGTCACAGTATGGAACGTCTCGTACTGCAGACAGTCTGGCGGTTTTGTCGAGAAAGAGGAAGTTAGGTGCCAAGCTGCTGCAATGCCAAGAACGATTTTCTATTTTTGAAGAGATTATTTATCTTGTTATATATAATTTCATATTTAAATGTGCGCTGGGTTACTCGATCCACTTTTTGTCACTTTGCAAAAATATATATTTTATTGTCCTTCTTATATATATAAATACATTGAAAAAGGTTAAGTAAATATTAAAAAGCCCATAATATTATTAAAAAATAATTTTTCTCTTTAATTTATCTGCTTCTCTCATATTAACACATTTGCTCGGATCCCCAATTGACACGTGTTGACAAAAATGTACATTTTAATAGTCGTATGTTTGGCCTTAATAACTAATGGTAACGTATTCTCGGATGTGCGTGCTAACATTATTATCGACTATTGTCACTCAATATTTAGATTTTAAACTATAATTGTTCTTTTAATATTTGAAACCGTCCGATATTTATATCCTTTCCCAAGAGTCGATTATCGCCGTTTAATGTTGCGACTCGTCGATTCCGCGCGACGAAGTACTAATAAAAATATCAATAAATCCATCCGATTAATCGGGGAGCGCGGGAGATGAGCGGTCCGATGTCGTGGGGCGGAAAAAGAGAGATAGAAAGATATAAATCGCGCACGATACAGGAACCCCGAGCCGCACGGACGATCGTATGTGCGCGCGCGCGCGCCGCTTTATTACACGAGATAACATCGCTTATTGTCTCTTTAATAAACGGCCGTGATGGTCCCTCGGCGAAGAAGCAGCAGCTAGCTACTGTCGCGGCTCCTGACGAGTCTTCGAGTCCTCGGGAGTCGAGTTTGGCCGGCTCGGTCGCCTCGAGTCACTCGCTAAAGCAGTGATTTACGTTCGTTACCCAGCGGACGCATCGCGATATGAGATTGCTTTCTTTCCCCTCCCTCCCTCTTGTATCGCTTTCCCCCTGCAGATTTCCGGACGACGAATTTGCGGAAAGTCGCGTCGGCGTCCGTGTGATTCATTCGGTCTGTGAGAAGTTTCCCCGGAGAAGCGAAAGCTTCGCTCGAATCCGTTTGAATCCGATCGAGTCCGATACCGCGAGGAAAAAACATGGCATTTCCGACCGGCAGCGGACTTCGCACCGTCGTGTCTCTCTGTTTATGCAAATGTTCGTTAGTTTCTCACCCGACGAGTGGACAATCCCACGCGCACGCGAGTTTTACAGTTCGTTGATACCGGCGGTTAAAGACAACCCGCCAGCAGCCCACGTAGCAGACAACTCCCGTCTCGGCCGAGTCTGTCTTCCTCGATCTCTCCGCGCGGGTCTGTCCGCTGCCTCTTTCTCCTTTTTCCATGCCATTTTCAGCCGGTGCAACGGCTGGCGATGCCTACTCGCCATCATCTCGGTGGCAGTCTCAAGGAGCGCGCGTGCCCCGGGCGAGAAATCGGTTGGTTTTTGTTCCTCGCCGTTCCGAAGAACCTTCGAAGGTACCGGCAGGATATCGCCGGTAGCCGCAGGACAAACACACGCCGCTCATCTCACCTCGGAATTGTCATCTCGCGAACCGAGCGCGAATATAAAGCGTCCTCCTTTGACGTTTGAATGCGACCGACGATTGCGAATTGGTCGTAAGGAGATAGGAATCTTTGATGCATTTCATGACTCTTTCGTGCCTCTTTCGGTGGCCAATCGCGGACGTTGACGCGTAATTTAAATCCTCGTGCGGATCAAAGGATCGGCTAATCGATGAAAAATGAAAATTGAACACGGCGGAAATAATAAAAATAATAGCATGAAGGTAATAAAGAGTAATGTTTCCATAAAAATTCAGGTCTCGGAAAGCTTTCGAGAGTAGCCAATTAAATTCGCATAAATTATCACGCTGCCGCGGAGCGAGATTACGCGCTAGACACCCGCGATTCCGGCTCTCACCCGGCCCTCGTGGTCGGGAAAATCATCGATTCCTCGAGTCTCTGTGGCACTTTTCGACTTGCGCCTACATTCCACCGCCCATGCGGAAACGCGCTCGAGCCGCACTTGCTGTCGCGTCCGAGCATATCGAGTACGTGGACTGGACATACGTTACTGGTCATGTCGCGGGCGACCAGCGAGGCGAACGCGCCACGATCTGGTTATTCTAGTTAACATCGCTGGTGCATGAAGCTCCTTTCATCCGTGTCGCGGTCGTGTTCCCGCAACCTCTCGCGTCTTCTCGCTCTCCGCACACCCGGGACGCATCGGCGAAATTACGAGCCGCGAAGACGAGCCGAGTTCGCACAAACGGGGAAAATCGCTCGTATTTTTCAAGCCGTTGTTTCACGCATCTCAGATCGCCAACGAGCTAAAGAGGAGACGTCCGGTCTCTGGAAGAGGCCTATTCGCAAAAACCGCACGTTATTCCCGGGCTAGTAGTCGGCGAGAGAGAGAGTGCGCAACCGAGGAAGGGAACGCGCACGTACACGCGTATAGACGTGACAGACGCACGTATATGCGCGTGCACACGCATTCGATGAAACACGCCCGCTCTTCTTTGAGCCTAACCGCTCTAGACATTCCATCGAGATGACTCCGGGGATCCCACTTTGTGTGTGCGCGCGCTACGTGCGCGGGTGTGCGGTTCCCACACGCATTCACGTCTCGCGGAGACGACCGGCGGCAGGAGAGACCAAAGAGAGGCTGAGATGCACACAGTCGACGTCAGAGAGCGGACATTGTGTGTGGGACCGGCGGACATATAAGGGCAAGCGTGGACCTCCGCGCGAGAAAGGACAGCTCCTTGTAGGGTATCCTGCGGGATCGACTTCTCGTAAATGCGGGGTGCGCAGGACGCGATGCACGCCGCGCGATGCGACGTGACGGTATGCGACGACGTACGTCGCTGCGGCGATGCCAACGGGAATGGCGAGGCTTTTTCTTTTTTCCTTTTTCAGTAGGAGCGGACTTTTCGCCCGGGGTGGTTTCGAATTTATGTCGATTTCGGGGCAAATCGTTGGGTACGTATATTTGTATGGGCGAAGGCAAACCCTTTCTCGTCTCTGGACGCAATCCGGAGGACAGATTCAACGTTCCAATCGACCGTGCTGTCATATTCATTCCACCGAATTGATGTCGGCGACAGATGTTGAACCGCGTATCGGGGGCAGATACAGCGGCGGCTGCGACGACGGAGGCGGCAGCAATGAAGAGCCGGACGAACCAAGTGGCAGTCAGCTGATTTTGACAGATCCCGTTTCAGCGAGCGGGGAGACGCGAAAGATCGCCCTCACGAGGCTGCCGATGCGCCCCATTGTGTGATTTCCCGCGATGCAGGGTCTCCCAAATTGTAGCCAACGTGGCCGATTGCGATCTTTCCGAGGAAAAGTTATGAATAGCCCGGGAAACATGCCGAGCTCGCGTTCTTCGAAACACGAAAAGTATACTAACCGACAGAACAGCCATATCACGCAATGAAATTTAATATACAGTGTATAATTCCGTGTTAAATTTGACACACTATACATGCCCCAAATTTTTGTATCGATTTAACACAAAAGGTAAATATATTGAAAAATAATACAAATATTATGTAAAAAATTAACAGAAAATTAAATATTCATAATACGTTAATCGACACTGAAATATAAAGTGTTTTAACATTTACAAGTGTTATTTTAAAACTTATATATGTTGAATATCAATTAAACACAAAATACTGAAATAACATGAACACAATTAATAATTAATAAACAATTAATAAATTAAATACGATGCAAATACGTTTCACATCTGTTACGTTCAAATTTGCTCAGAAACGGCGATAGTTCTTTTTTTCCGGGCCAATTAGATATCTACGTTTGGGAAACCCTGCTGCAATTGCGTTTACACAATCGATCGATGGGGAGCAGAGAGCTCCCGTTGTGTCGCGCGCGCCTTTTCAGATCGCGGATATATTAATTCGAGAAGCCAGCTGTCGCAGTCGGGCCAATAAAATGCTATTCAAATGCGCGGCACTGAAGAATTATAGTCGTAAGGGCGTATTCATGCGTCCATTCAACCCTATCCATGGACTTTTCTCCTCGTGGGCGTAAAGAAACCGCATTTAAAGATCCGTAAACAAACGCTTAACGACTGTGCATTGTAGCCGTTTCGGCGATTAGATATATCTATATTTTAATCTCTATATATATCTATATTTTTTTATTCTCTTCATATATCTATATTTTACTCTCTAAATCGCTCGTGAAGCGAATTTTTCAGTTCGAAGCGAGTAAACATTCACTCGCGAGGCGATCGTGAAAATACACCGCCATTTAAAATCACAATTTAATATTTAACGTTGAATATTTAACTTGAAACGCGGAGTAAATTGTTAATCGATACTACCGAATATTTCAGTCGATTAAGGGACGTAGTATCCCATAAATTTCTTGGAGTGAAATCTCACTGAAAACGAGCGAAAGTACACTCGGTACGATTGTGAAAATACGAGGACGCTCGTAGGGGAATCACAGGGGAGTGAATATTTCAATCAATTAGAGTGAGCTTGTTCCATTGACGGCGGGGGTACATCGGATTTACTCTTCAATTTCGGACGAAAATATTTACTCGGCGATTCAAAGCGGAGGAATACACTCTATATATGATTGAAAAGTCATTCGACTTCGATTGGCTCGGCTGTCACTCGATTTTTTCGAGTGGAACCTTGGTACACGAAGAAATTTCGAGAGTACTCTCTCGGCGGATTTCTCTCTTTCCATTTTTCACCGCTTCGGAATTCACAAGCGTACGACGAATCGTTCGCCCTCGAGGTCTCCTCACCGCCCGGATAGCTGAGTAAAACTCACGGTCGAAGTCGGAATAAATAAAGAAATAAATACTATCGGTTGTCGTCAGGGAAGCTAATCGCACTCGCAATAAGAGACGTAGTGTGTGTACGGTGTAACGTGAAGCCCACTTCCGCGTGCTATTTAAGAATAGATTCACATTACAAATAACTCACCCTGTTAGGCTGCACATGCCAACTACGCCTCTTCCCATGTCTCTGCACGCCGTCCTCTGAAATGGTTAGGTCGGCCCTGCTGCCGACCAAACAGCCCCCCGTATCGTATTGGCCAACCAGAAGCCTCAATCGATTTCCTGGGCAGATACCCTACGGTAGAAAAAATATAATAACGTAATAACGGCTCGATTGTGTGTGTGGGGCTCGCTCGACGCGTGAGTACATTTTTCATCCGGCGTGTCTCGTTATTATTCTTTTTTTCGTTTCCCCGGCACAGAATTCGATGCGCTCGCGGTCAGAGAGTGTCCACGATTGACTTTCCTTGTCGGGGATCTTTCAACGAGCTTTTTTACATACGCTCGCCTGCTCGCTCGCTCGTTCGTCCACTCGTCGTTCTCACATCCCGTTACTTTTTCCTCGAGAGAAAAAAAGCGCGGGCTCACGCATCACGGAGGGGTGTGCGAGCGAGGGACAGCCCCAATTAGACGTCTGCGTATCCCGAGTTCCCCTCTCCCGTCTAATTCCGTAAAATCCAGCCGAAAATAAACGTCTCACCCTCCTCCCGTCGCGATGTCCTGAGAAGCGGACGGCGCCGTTAAATGGATGCGCATCGCATAACTCATACGTTCACCTCGCGGCGCGGAGAGTCTCGAGTGTGTTACAAAGTTGTAACTCATAAATCTCAAGACGCTACTAGGCTCTCGTGCCGCGCTCTCCGCGGAATAACGATACCGAGATTGTCAACGCCGTCACGTTTGCGTGGATCCCGGGTTCGCTTTTTAGCATTTTCCGAGATACTTCCCCGCGTAAATCGCCCGCTAAACTCTCACATAAAATCGCCAGGATATTGTACAGAGGAAAGAGTGTAGGAACGGAATGGTAATATGGAACTCGCGTTTGTGTCCTAAAACCATTCTTTGAAACTATCGGTAGCTGAACTTGTGAGAAACATTAGGTTCCGTTTAGATTAGATTGGATAGAAAATAGCTGTTGGTCAGAATATGGAACATCTCGTATTGCAGCCAATGTGACAATCTTGGCGAAAAGGTGGAGATTAGATGTTGAGCTACCGCAATGCTAAGATTAATTTTGTTTTTATTTTTAAAGAGATTATTTATCTTGTTATATATAATTTCATATTTAAATGCGCGTCAAGTAACTTGATCCACTTTTTTGTCATTTTGCAAAAATATATTTTTTATTATCATTTTTATACATAAAATACATTGAAAATGATTGAATAAATAACGGTAAGTTCATAACACCAAGTGTTAATAAAAAAAAATTTGCTCTGTAATTTATCCGCTCGTTCCATATTAACATCCCATTTGCTCAGATCCTCGACAGGTTGGTAAAAAGATGTACCCTGCCTTTTAACAGTTATATGTTTGGTTTTAATAACTAATAGTAAATATTTTCAGATGTATGTACTAACATTATTGACGATTATTCGTTCAATTTTCCTTTAATATTTAAAATCGTTCCACATTTACACCCTTTCTCCTATACTAAGTTGTTCAAGAGATTTCCAACGGTGGCCAACGTGAGATTGGTGAGATTAAACTCTGGTATTTTCTATTAATTTGTTTACCTCGAGAACAGGCGCAGTCGCATTCTCTCGCACGGAAGTGACACTTACAAAGTACACGGCGGACGAATACATCCGCCCGAGATAAACCGAACATTTTCCACTCGGTTAAAGAGGCAATCAAGCCGTGCTATCGGAAGAAGTGGCGCGAACTTTCCAGACCACTTAATAGATTTATATCGGTACATTCATAAATAATTTCCAAGAGGTGGGCAACTGCTTCGTTTATCACGAGCAAACGCGTTTTATGAATTATAGATGGGCAAGCACGACGCCTTGTTGAAAACAAAAACGAAGAAAAGGGAATGTCTAGTTAATAATATGTATATATATACTTTTTTTTTTATAGTGCCTGGGTATATCATATAGATGAGACTCCTAGATCGAAGGCAACTACGATGCTGACGGTGCACGATCGTTAGTCCCATTTCCGTGATAATAACGCTCGCCTCGTTATCCCTCGGAAATTCTCCGAGCCGCTTCGGTGCATCGACTCTTGCGCGCGTCACGTGAGACGCGCACGAGCAGTATGACGTTCTTAGGCGAGCCGCTCTCTCGCACAAGCGGCACAGCCGTGGAGCCGCGCGCGCGTTTCTCATCGGGACTTTGTGGTTTACAGGAACGATTAAAAATAATTAATTACCTGTCGTCCTCGCAGAGCGCACAGCCACCATCCTTCGAGACCGGCGGTGTTCTGCTCCAGCACGGTGAGCACGTCGCCCTTGCGGAAAGCTAACTCGTCGGGCGCCTCGGCGATATTGTCATACAGAGCTCGCGCTTTCACGCACTTTTGCTGTAACAGAGTAAGCAAAAAAATCACGAGATTAGCGCGACGCTGGTACTCTGCGCACAAATGGGTAAACGAATACTCCGCGAGATATCATTATTATTATTACTTTAATGAAGTTAATATGTTAGTCTCTGAAAGAGGAGTAACAATGGGTAAGCTAATACTTCGCGGGATATCATTATTATTATCATCATTATTTTAATGAAGTTATTGTTATTCTCTTTAAAAGAGGAGTGTCAATAAGGCCGTTTTATGGCCTTCGGAAAATTATATCGATCTGACAGTTTGAGAGCCCTGAGAAAGAGAATTTCTCTCTGTTCTTTCCAGACAAAACTATGGTTTGCGCTTTCGGATTCAAGAGTGAACTTAATGGATTCTACCATTGAGAGGGATGAATTCATTTTAATTGATTGAACTCCCTCCCTCCCCCCTCCTTGCTATTCCGAGCGGCTGTATTTTCACGACCGCCGTGAGTGAATTTTCCCTCATTCTGTGTGGAGATTTCGCTCCGAAAAGTTTAGAGAGTGCTACATCTCCTATTTTATTCCGATAGATTTACCCCGAGCCACATAAATTAGCCCGGCACTTTCCGCAACGGATGTGCGACGCACAGACACACACAGCAACACGGACAGACGACGGATCGTGTATCGGTGCCGCAGGAGCAATTGGTTTCATTCGAAAAGTCAATGAGCCGGTTTCCACGCGCGCGCCAATTGGGTACGCAGCAATAGTAGCAGCAGCGATGCAGCTCGCCGCCCTTTGGCCAATTTAAATCCATAAAATCTCCTAGCACCACGCGTCGCGCCATCCCTCGTCCATCTGTCGCGTCTATTTCGAGATACGGCGAACGGACGGACGGAGCCGACGTCTCTTCTGCCGTTCCGCCGGGAGGAGACGTAACGATCACTTAAACGTCCACCACGTCCCGAAGTGCAGCATACGATAGATGCGTTTTACGAGGAAGCTGCGGCCGGCCCCGTATCCACCCTCTCAAGTGAGTTCAATTGAAGCGCCTCCGTCGACGCGGCGGCGATGACGACCGTTCCCTTTACACGCACTTTTATTCCCCACTCTCCTCTCTCTTTTTTTCTCTCCTTTCCTTTTTATCTCGCGCCTCCATCGCCGTTGGCAAACAGTGATGTCATACGCGCGATCTTCGGCGGAGTTCCGGCGACAGCGGCGGCGCCGCGGCTCGGAATTTAATGCGCCGCTCGCGATAATTACGCGGTGTCGCGCGTCGCTAAATATAATTGCCCGTGCTTCCACGAAAGCAGCGTGGAAAATCGAGCTCCAAGCTTCGTACTTCGTTTGTTTCACCAACACGACACGTCGGATCGCGTTTAAGCGATGACGGAGACGCCGTCCTGTCTCGAGGGGGAGTTTCGAGAAAGGAGGAATCGCCCACGCGTCGCGTCGGATTTTCAAGGTGGAACTGCTTGCTCACCGGTAAGCGAACCGACAGTACGATTCGGTCTCTCCGGTCTCGAGAGCCGGGACAAACTTGTATCCTCACACCTCCCCCCCCGTGTCTCTTCTTCTATTTGTATCGACGTTTCAAGTTCATTGTACTGAGTGGACAGGTCGGATCGATGCTATTTTCGGAGCGGTCAGGTCGCTGTGTGAACCTTGCGAGTCCATCAAGAATGCAACTCGCTGCCATAAAAGGACGCTCGTCTGTCCCGAACGTTAAGCCAGACGCGCAGGTACATACACTTACGACCCTTTCACTGACAGGTTCCTCAGGTACAGTTGCGGCCGTCGAAGGCGAAGCGATCGAAGAGTCCCACATTGAGTCCCTCCCTGTCGAGCCGTTCGGTGTTGTTTTTTCCGCAGAAAATACCCTTCGCCTTGGCGCTTCGCGATTTATTTACCGATGCACACAGATGCATTCAGATGGGGACGCAAATTGTTATCGGAAGTGACGCTGAGTGCTTTTCGCAGCTGACGTAAGGACTTAACGAAGTTATTTCGGAGCGCAGCGTGAGAAATGCGATTAATTGTTTTCGTCACGCATCTTTCCCAGCCTCGCTCCATCTGTCGGACGGGTTAAAACCCCGGCCCTCTCAGGAACGATCGCTCGATAATTCACGTATGAGTAACTCGATTCATCGAGCCGTTTTATCGAGGGAGGGGCACGCTCCGCTGTTCGCGTTGCTTTCTCTGCATAATCCCATTGATAAGGATAATCGCGTCTATCCGAGCGAAACCGACCGAACTGAGAGGATCGAAACTCGGTCGAGTTACAATCGGTACTTTATACTTATTTCTCGCCTTTTTAACGTCGATTCACATTTCCCCCCTCCCTCGTTTTTTGACCGTGAAAATATACGTTATCCCGTATTAAAAAGGGGGAAAAAGGGAAAGAGAAAGAAATGGGATGATTATACAAAGGGCGTAAACGATGGCACGGACGGAAACTCATCGATCGCCCTTCACGCGGCACGTCGAATTTTCCGAAGCGCTTCTCGGCGGTGGTCTGTTTTGAAATTTAAATTACAGGGGATATCCAACGGTGTATGCATGCGCCACCCTTTTCTCTCTCCCCACCCACCCTCTCGTGCCCTGCACACGACGTGAGACGAACACGTGCTGCTCGAGAGAGGTAAGTAGCCTTATATAAATACCGCGTCCGGCGGAGCGTGTTTCGCGGAGGGTTAGAGAGCCGCCGGCTTTTGTAGACACGTGCCGTTCCAGGAGGCAAAACGTTACACGTTTACGTGGACTCTCCCCCTCTCTCTCGGTTTTTATCGTCGGTGTTACTGTTATCGCGCCCGACAATGTGGGTTAATGTGTTCCCCGACTGTATGAGAAAATGCGCCACCGAGCGCGTTTCCGACGTCATCGTTATTACGAGCGGACGCGAACGCGACCTTATCGCGAGCGCGCACTTTCGCATTTAACGTGTGCGACCCGTGTGCGACCCCGGTCTGACTTTGAACTTTTACGTCGGAGTGTACGGGTGTCCGTAAGTCCGTAATCCAATTACAAGTAGGCTTATAAACGATGGCACGTACTACGAGGGGTCTACAAGCGTTACTCGCGTGTAACGCTTGGGGTTAACGTTTCCTCGGAGCGAGCCAAGCGCGAATAATACGATTTAATTGTATATGTGTAACATCCACTTCAATAAAAAGATCCAAATTCGCGCGAGGAACAGTAGGATTTTTATTATTATAGAGGCAAGAGACAGCGATTGATCCGCGTCATCGTCGAAGACTCGAACGATGGCACTGTGGAAGGGATGCATTTTCCGACATGCCTAGGGTTGCCACCTCTCCGGTCGAAAGACAAAACCCCAATACGGCGAAATATGTAACCGATAAATAATGAACTCAGGGGAAAAGTCATTGAAAAACACCAAATATACTTTTAAAGTGAAGAAGCAACTGTTGAAATTTTGCTTTTGTTAAAAAATGAATAGCGAATGCATTTTGCTAGTCTAGTATGCAAAATGCAACGGTAATTGAAAGACTTTCTACTCCGAGATCTCACTTTGCCGATTTCCGAGTAGACGAACAAACTGGTGACAACCTTGTTCGTGCTCGAATGGTACAGAAAGACATTCTCGATCGAGAAACGCCGCAAGTAATTACAATCGACGGTCGAATGAGGCCCGACTGAGTCGAGGGGGGTCGGCATCTGGAAAATGAAAGGCTGCACACGTCGCGTGGCTGTATTAAAACGGCGGGAGGTCGTTCGTTCTTTCTTTCAGGTCGGCGACGGGGTGGTTCCCGCGCCGACGGAAACGATTGATTAACGAGGAACTCGCGTGCGCGACAATTACAGCAGCACGTCGCGACGCAGGCGAGCCGCCCGCGCGCCTCCGTGTCCGACGACGAGCGGGCGCGTGTGAAAATAACGCGAATGCCATTCACGAGTGCATAGAGCGTGTAACAACGCGAGACGACGCCCAGATAGGATGCAAACGAACGAACCTCGGGATCGATATCCCGCGGCCTGCGGTAAGGATCGCGGAATAATTCAAAGGACTCAGCATCGTCTTCCGGCGCTATTCGCGTCGTGATAAGAGCTAACGCTCGTGATTACATCGGGAGAGAGAGAGAGAGAGAGAGAAGATACCGTCCCCGAGAATTTCGGCACGTGAATGAACGTAGGCCATGGATGCATTTGCATAATTCAATTCCCGGCCAGCGGGCGGCGACGGAAGCCCCGTGAATTGATCTTATCCTGCGTCGTAGGGTGCGAGGTCTGCGCCGTACATTTCCCTCCGCTTATCTGCCGTTTTCGGAAAAGTGCCGGTTCGGATGCACCGGCGACGACACGCGATAACATCGAGATCCAGTGGCCCGGAATGATCGCGAAACGTGAGGTCACGCTACATAATATGTTTCCATGAAAATATACGCTTCCTCACGTGTGTCCGCGCGACATACACACAGTCCTGGGTTGCCATCGAGAGAGCGTTCCTGAATGTGTCTGACTGCGAAGTCCAATGGCGAGAATGAACGAAACGGTCACGCGATGATTCGATGAAAGCAATAATAATATCGGACGAGCCCGGTAGGGCGAACAAATTGCTTGATTGGCGGATCAATCGCCAACGAACAATCTCAGCAAGCGACGCGTTACTAACCGTTCGCTCAACCGATGTTTCACAAACATCGCATGCGAGTTCGTCGACGACGTAACGTGCTCTCAACGTGATGCGATATGAATAAACCACCGAGACAATATCGGCTGTGATACACAGGATGGGGCAATTTTTTTTTATAGTTAAAGAGTTGTTAATAAGTAGAGAGAAAATGCCCAAATTTGCGCTACAGTATAAAAAACATTTTGTTCCTGTGTTAAAATCGATTCTTGTTGACAATTTTATGTTGAATTCTCAACGCAGCATGTGTTAACGTAATTAATTAATTTGATTGTTATTTAAAGATTTTGCATTGTATTGATATTCAACATTCTTTGTACTAAAATAATATAATTTATATATAAATATATGTTTAAAGATTATGTAGTTTTAGAGTTATATATTTTCG